AAGGGACGCCTGCCTGCAACACATGAAAGCTACCTTTGAGGCCATAGTTGCCAGCGATATTTTCCTTCAACTGCCATCTGACACTGTCCTCTCCCTGCTGGAGGCAGATGACCTTCAAGTGAACAGCGAAGAAACCGTCCTCAAGGCGATTGGAAGATGGGTCAGTCCACTCGGTGAAGTGGATGAAACACGATTGGGGCACGCAGAAACGATGATGAAGGAAGTACGGTGGTATCAAATTGATAGTAACTCTCGATACAGACTGGAAGAGGATGATGAAGGATTTTGGAATAAAAATTTGGGATGTTTGTAAGCTTTTGGACCACGTTTAACTTGTTAAACAATTTAAGACGACTTCTAGGCCGTATAAACAACTGGATTGAAAAAGAAACCTCTAGGGTGGAAAGACAATGTCCATTTAATGAGAGGAACAGACGGTCACTGGGTATCATGTTTCTTCTCGGTACTTCAACGACTTCAGGGGCTATGTCGCTGACCCGGTACGATGCTGACACAAAAACATCGCAAAAATTAACGGACGTAAGGGCTGGCTTGGACGCGGCCTTTGTCGTCATTAAGGGTAAGTATCGGTTACTCTCACTTTTGGCAACCATATTAGTGCTTCAATTATTTTGAACAATCACGACCAGGTCTTTGCAGTAGTTTGATGACTATATAGCACGATGAATGTCTTTCTTTTAATATGCTGATCGAGAACTGGTCGAATTTGTCTAAGCATCCTTCATCTACCTACCAACAGGATATAGCCAATTTTGGCCACGTTGGCCAGATTCACTTCGCCCGAATCTTCAAAATTTGTGTTGTCAATTTCCCGTTAAGTTTAGACGATCCCACGCTGGCTTTTGACAAGCTCTCTACCGCAGTCATAAGAGATACCCACAATTGCTTGGCAGGAAAAACCCCATTAAAACGATGTACTTTTGTCATGGTTTTTCAACATCCGTATTTACCTCCGTATAAAGGCCCTGCTACCGCGTTTAAATGCTCTTAATCTCACTTGATCGATGCTTTTGCATGGATGTTTTTAGTTCTCTATTTAACACAATCCCCTGCTTCGCTTGTCATTCCCCTCAAAAACAGATTGCGTCTTTGTAATTGGAGGATGCGAGCAAGACGGCAACCATACAAGCGTTAGTAAATTTGACACGAGGCATTGTCGATGGACTGAATGTGCACCACTTCCGGCGTGGCGCGAGAAACATGCAGCCGTCGCTGTCCCAGTTGGTGGTCAAGTCGCCATATTTGTATGTGGTGGCAGCAGTCCAAGCAGCAGCTACTTTTATGTACGCTGTGACAACGCACTTAATACATGTAATCTTTATTCTCCGGAGCTAAACCAGTGAGTTTGTGGTGTTTCTCCTAACTATATAATACCCTTCGCTCGTGGCGGTCCCTATACTCCATTAGTAGTCACGCGAAACCTGTTTAATGTACGAACCTAGCACCTAAAATGCGAAATGTTCCGTTAAGCATTGCTGAAGCTAAGCGATCGCCACTACACGCGCTGTGCTATCAGACAAAATCTTGTAAAAAATATCGATTAACGTGACTAACGAGTAGTTATGTTTTTATTGCTATTTGGACTAACTGACTTATGTTTTGTTCGCTCCCAGAACATGTAATCGACGTACTTTTAAAATTTTTCTTTGTATCCATATATATACACAGTCGTGTAAAAACGACATTAAATTACACTATACTACTCTTGATTAACGAGTAGTTATGTTTACATTACAATTTGGGCTACATGAAAAATATTATGTCTTCCCCCGGAATATGTAATTTGCATACTTTTTAAAAGTTTTTGTATCCATGTATATGAGAAGAAGAGGCGATCTCGGGAATGGTGGGTATAATATCCTGACGTTTCGAAAGCGTACAGGCTTGCATCGTCGGAG